TTGTTATGCAACTAATAAATCAAACTATACATTAATGAAACCAATTCCTTAAATGGTTAAATGCTGATTGCAAACTTAGTCTTTTTCTTGCCATTGTAGTAATATATACACGATATTGATTACGTTAACCACTTGGGAGGTACAATTCTTTAACATTAAATGCATTCCCAATGTATGCAACCATCACCATTTCTACACCCCAAATTTTGTTTTATCACTCCAGCCCTTGAAACAGTCTCCAATCCTCTACCCCAGCCCCTGGGCGTCTCGCTTCTACTTTCTGCCTCTAGGAATTTGGCTATTCCTGTGGCTCCTATAAGTGCAATCATGCAACATTTGTCCTCCTCTGTCTGCCTTACTGAAATGTGGCTTTTAAATCATCATGCGTCTATGAGCAGAACATCAAATTAACCACCAAGGCTGGTGTCCCTGGATCCCACAGCCCAAAGCCCTGCTGACAGAGATCCCACTGACCCGAGGCCTGGGGGTTCCCTCCCTCCTTGCCCTGGACGGGGCTGGGGCCTGGGGCTTGTTTTTCACAAGCGAGAGAGTTCCTGGGCCACCCGGGTCTCCTGCCGAGAAGCCTCCCAGCCCTGCTGGGGTCCCAGCCCACATTCCTGCCTTTTTGGTTAATTGGACTTGATTGGGTTCCAGGGAGTTCTGGAAGTTCCCCTCAGTGATGGCAGAGACCCCTGATGTGCTTGGGAGGATTAGCTCAGTGACCCACTGACCCCAGGCAATTAGGAGCATTGGCTGGGACTCTGAGGTCTCCTAGGAGGACCCCATAATCATCCTGGGGTGCCTCCGCTGCAGACCCGCGTGGGATTTGGCTGTGCCTGTGTGTCTTGGCATCCAGCTGGTTCCTAGCACCAGGCACCTGGGCCAGCACTCCTCTTTCCTCATCCTCTGTGGTTCTTTTCCTCCTTTCTGTGCTGATGTGGAAGATTCTGGTTCACATTTGCATGAAAAATTAGTTTTAGTTTTTCTTTGGCTGCTAACCTCACCTAATTACCTCTCTAATAACGAACTTAACTCCAAATACAGTCACATTCTGAGGGACTGTGTCACAACCTCCACGTATGAATTTTGGGGAGACACAGTTCAGCCCATACTCTTCCCCTCTTACAGAGGAGATGATGGAGGCTCAGAGAGGGGAAGTCATTTACCCAGGTCGCACAGCAGAAGGGAGTAGGAGAAACGTCCAACACTTACTGGGTGCCAGGCTCAATTTCAAGGCTGCGTTTGCCCCACTTGTTCATTTTGCCAATGTCTATCGTGTCAGATGCAAATGGAAATGAAATACACTGATGGGACTGGACACGGTGGCTCATGCCTGTAATCCTAGCACTTTGGGAGGCAGAGGCAGGTGGATCACTTGAGGTCAGGAGTTTGAGACCAGCCTGGCCAACATGGTGAAACTCCGTCTCTACTAAAAAATACAAAAATCAGCCAGGTGTGGTGGCACACACCTGTAGTCCCAGCTACTCGGGAGGCTGAGGCAGGAGAATTGCTTGAACCCGGAAGGTGGAGGTTGCAGTGAGCTGAGATCTCACCATCACACCACTGCTCTCCAGCCTGGGTGACAGAGTGAGACTCCATTTCAAAAATAAAAAAACAAACAAAAAAAGAAACCTGGGGTCTCACTCTATCGCCCAGACTGGAGTGCAGTGGTGCAATCATGGTTCACTGCAGCCTCGACTTCCGGCCTCAAGCGATCCTCTCACCTTAGCTTCCCAAAGTGTTGGGATTACAGGTGAGATCCACCGTGCCCAGCCTCATCCCTTCCTTTCCATATTGCCTGTGGTTGCTTTTGTGCACCATGGTCGATCCAAAAACAAATTGAGTCAGTGAGACACAGACCATCCGGCTTTACTTCCTTGTAATCACACCTCTGGGGATTCTGAGTCCGGCCATCCTAGCCCCATGGCCAGGGATGTCAGGAGATGTTGGTGGCCATTTTGAGCAGTGGGTTCCCTTGCAAGTCATGGTGGAGGACACAGGCTATGTCCAGGACACATCCCCTGGAGGCATGGGTGTGGAGACCATGAGCCAAATTCATTCATTGTCTAACATCAAACTCAATTCCCATGATGTAAGCACGTCAGCCTTACGGGTCGGGCGCATGCTGATTTCCACCTGTGAGTGGAATCTACCACTCCTCCTGTTGACTCTCAGCAGTGCCCAGCTTAGGTGGTAGATTCTAGGGTCTCCGATGTTGGAGGTCAAGACTGTGATGTAATAAAGTATTTTTTTCAATGTGTGTCCTGTGACAGTGACCAGTTCAAAAAACATAGAGGTTTGGGGGTTTTCTTTGAATCAGAGTCTCACTGTCACCCAGGTTGGAGTGCAGTGGTGCAATCTTGGCTCACTACGACCTCTGCTTACTGGGATCAAGCGATTCTCCTGCCTCAGCCTCCCAAGTAGCTGGCACTACAGGCACGCGCCACCACACCTAGTTAATTTTTGTATTTTTAGTAAAGGCAGGGTTTCACCATGTTGGTCAAGCTGGTCTCAAACTCCAAACCTCAAATGATCTGCCTGCCTCAGCCTCCCAAAGTGCTGGGATTACATGCATGAGCACTGCGCCTGGCCCAGAGACATCCTGTTTTATCTGCTTATGTGGATTTAATGATATTTTCTTGGGGTATAAGGAAAAAAACTTTCTTGGTTTTTGTTCACAGCTCCTGGCACATAATTCCTAAATCCCTAGAATGGACATTCATTCATAGGATGAACGAAGGTGTTAAGACAACACTATGGGCCGGGCACGGTGGCTCACAACACTTTAGGAGGCTGAGGTGGGCAGGTCACTTGAGGCCAGGAGTCGGAGAGCAGCCTGGCCAATATGGTGAAACCCATCTCTACTAAAAACACAAAAATTAGCTGGGTGTAGTGGTGCACACCTGTAGTCCCAGCTACTTGGGAAGCTGAGGCAGAATTGCTTGAACCCGGGAGGCAGTGGAGGTTGCAGTGAACCGAGATCATGTCACTGCACTCCAGCCTCGGCGACAGAGCAAGATTTTTGTCTCAAAAGAAAAAAAAAAGCACTATGGAAGCGCTGGCTGAACTGAAGCGACTGCCTGGGGTTCCTCAATATCAAAGGTCTCCAGACAAGTCTGCTGTATTTGCTCCAGTTTGTAGAAATTTTAAAAGCTGGAAGGCAGACACTACATGAAACCCAACCTGTTCTCACTGCGGACAACCAGGCAGATTCGTCAAGATAAAGAATGACACAAGGGGCCGGGCGCGGTGGCTCACACCTGTACTCCCAGCACTTTGGGAGGCCAAGGCAGGCAGAACACTTGAGGTCAGGAGTTCGAGGCCAGCCTGGCCAACATGGAGAAACCCTGTCTCTACTAAAAATACAAAAATTAGCCGGGCATGGTGGCGCATGCCTGTAATCCCAGCTACTTGGGAGGCTGAGGTGGGAGAATTGCTTGAATCTGGGAGGCGGAGGTTGTACTCCAGCCTGGGTGACAGAGCAAGGCTCCAACTCCAAAAAAAAAAACAAAAAAAGCCCCCACACAGGAGCTCCTTTGACCCTCCCACCATGTGAGGAGGACACAGTGAGAAACCGGCCAATCAGGATTCAGGGTCTCACCAAACCCCAGTTCTACCAGCATCTTGAACTCCGACTTCCAGCCTCCGGAAGACAGAAATCAACTTCTCGTTTCTAAGCCACCCATCTATGGTATTTTGTTATAGTAGCCTGGATGGACTATGACAATGGGATTGGGGTCGAAGTTTGGATGAAAACTGGGGCCAGGCCCAATGGCTCATGCCTGTAATCCTAGCACTTTGGGGACCTGAGGTCAGAGGATCACTTGAGCCAGGAATTCAAAACCAGCCTGGGCAACACAGCAAGAACAAGACATACCTGCCACACCAAAAAATATTCAGCCAAGTGTGGTGGTGCATGCCTGTGGTCCCAGCTACGGAGGAGGCTGAGGTGGGAGGATCACTTGAGCTCAGGAGGTCGAGGCTGCAGTAAGCCGTGATTGGCATCACCGCACTCAAGCTCAGAAGACACAGCAAGCCCTGTCTAAAAACCAAAGACAAACCAGGCAGCAAAACCCACACTTCCAGCGATACGAATTGGGAAATGTGACAAGGGGATCAGTAAGTTCCCAAAGCCCACTCCGTGTGGGGTGGAAGCTGGAGAGTTACAGGAAAATTTTCTGGGCCAAAGCCCCAGTGGAGCACAGATGGGGTTTATGGCAAGAGCCTGAGCATCTCCCGGTGGCAACTACTGAGACCTGGAACTCAAACATGTCCTCTAGTCGAGGTGTGGGAGGCCGGGCCCCAGCGTTCGGTGGAGGTCCTGGAGGCCAGGCCCCAGCGTTCGGTGGAGGTCCTGGAGGCCAGGCCCCAGCGTTCGGTGGAGGTCCTGGAGGCTGGCCCCAGCGTTCGGTGGAGGTCCTGGAGGCCGGGCCCCAGGTTCCCTGGTGGAGGTGTGGGAAGCCGGACCCTGCAGTCTTTGAGGCTGCCAGCGAGACGAGGACCCAGCGACCTCCCGAAGCTGCCAGCAAGGCAGGGACCCAGCAGTTTCTCGAGGCTGCCTGGGACCATGACCGATTATGAAGGCATTCAGACCCTGGAGCCAGAGCCAGTCGGGGTTGTTAAAGTGGAAGCTCCCTACTTCAGCCCAGAAGCTGGGGCCGGGGGAAGGATGATGTGGATTGTTTTTGTTTTACTCCTTCTGTTGAATGTTTACAAATGCAAACTTGAGTTCTAATAAAGAATTGCATTTCCCTAAATAAATAAATAAATAAAACAAAGCATGTCCACTCGAGGGCCATTCCTAATTGCTGTCCCAAAACCACCCTTGTGACTGAAGGACATGAAATATCCTGACGGTGGGATACTGGGCATGTCGTGGAGGCCCTGAATTTCAGGACCAGTCATCCAGAAGAACTCGAGACAACACAGGGCCTTCCAACTGGCCCCCTTCATAGAACACGGGAGGCTTCAACTGCAAAACAGGTTTACTGTTTAGTATCAAACGAGATTATCACATAAAAATAGCTACAGGGCTACGGTAGTGTATAAAGTGCTCAAGTGTCCTGAATGTAACCATGAGTCACCCACAAGTCCCTCCCTGAACGAGAGACCGAGGGTGGGACTTCTCCCTGGCTGCTTCAAGAAAAGTCTTCCTTCGGGCTGATGAACGTGGCCTGAGTGGGGGCTGATGGGGCACCCGGGTTGTCGTCCTCAGACAGGCGCGTGTTCTTGGGTGCTCCCCCGAGATTCTCTGCAGGCACCATCTTGATTGAAATACCACTGGCTGGGGGGCGCCACGCCCTGGGTCCCTTCCCAGACTTCCTGGTTTGCCAAGGCTGCCTCTTTGCTCACCTCTGCGGAGAGTTCCAAGCACCTGGCTGAAGCTCCTGTTGACGGACGGGAGAAAGAACGGCTTTCACCCTCTGAGGTGAAGCACACGCGTGTGGTGAACGAGGCGCTGCCATGCGGGGAGGCGGATTGTCACACAGCCCATGTGCTCAGTGGGAAAGGAGCAGCAAAAAAGATCTGTCTGAAAAGACGCAATCAGGGAAACCCCCAAGAACAGCACCAAGCACAAAAGCAGAGACTCATTCATCCAAGAAATGTTCACGGAGCTCCGTGCTGTGCTGCTGCTGTGGCGGAAGTCTCTGTCCCCACCCAAAGCCCATTAAAAAATTATCCCCTGGCCGGGCGAGGTGGGATTAAAGTGCTGTAATCTCAGAATTTTGGAGGCCGAGGCAGGCAGATAGCTTGAGGCCAGGAGTTCGAGACCAGCCTGGGCAACATGGTAAAACCACGTCTGTACAAAAAAAATTTAAAAAGCTGGGTGCAGTGGCTGACGTCTGTAATCCCGGCACTTTGGGAGTCCAAGGCGGGTGGATCACCTGAGGTCAGGAGTTCAAGACCAGCCTGGCCAACATGGTGAAACCATCTCTACTAAAAATATAAAAATTAGCCAGGCGTGGTGGAACGCACCTGTAATCCCAGCTATTGGGGAAGCTGAGGCAGGAGAATCGCTTGAACCCAGGAGTCGGAGGTTGGAGTGAGCCGAAGATCGCGCCACTGGTACTCCAGCCTGGGCAACAGAGTGAGACTCTGTCTCAAAAAAAATTAGCCGGTGCAGTGGTGCACACCTGTAGTCCCAGCTACTTGGGAGGCTGGGGTGGGATGATCGCTTGAGCCTCGGAAGCAGAGGTTGCAGTGAGCTGAGATCACATCACTGCACTCCAGCCTAAGCAATGAAAATGAAACCCTATCTCAATAATAATAATAATCCCCAATATGGCAGCAGCGAGAGGTGGCCCTTTAAGAGGTGACTGGGTCAATCAGCGTTCTGCCGTTCATGGGTGAATGAGTCAGCCCGGGAGTGGCACTGTGGCTTTATAACCCTTTGATGTCTCCTGAATTGATCCATGGCCACCCACAGGGAGAAAGAAATGCCACAGTGGCTGGCAGTTGTTTTTGCATAAGTCCTTTCCAATATTTTAAGCACTCAGAAAAAAATTTAGCATTGCAAAAAAGAGAAAAGATAGTCTTCTGGAGAGGTGGAGAAAGGCAGTGGTTAGACATCTCCTGGGGGAGGTAAAAAAAAAAAAAAAAGGGGGTCTTGATGGGTTTTTGGGGGTCTGGACCCACAAGGATATGTGCTCTGTGAAAGCTACTGCAAGTCCTTTAAGATCTGGGCCATTTCCTATCAATCAGAGTTCAAAAAACATCCTCCTGGGACCTTACCCCGGAAGGCGTTTGAAAACACCAACAGGGCTGATGTGAGGGCGCCTGTGCTGCTGGGTTACTTTGAGGATGTGAATGACAGGTGACACCCTTTCTCCTCCAGCTGCTTGAGGACTTCCATGGATTTTTTTTTTTTTTTTTTTCCTGAGACAGGGTCTTACTCTAATGACCACAGTCATGACAGCCTTGACCTCCCCGGGCTCAGTGATTCTCCCACTCTGCTTCCTGAGTAGCTGGGACACAGGCATGCACCGCTGTGCCTAATGTTGTATTTTTTAAACAGAGTGGTCCGGTGTGGTGGCTCATGCCTGTAATCCCAGCACTTTGAGGGCCAAGGTGGACAAATCACTTGAGGTCAGGAGTTCGAGACCAGCCTGACCTACATGGTGAACCCTGTCTCTACTAAAATACCAAATTAGCCGGGTGTGGGGGGCACCCACAATCCCAGTTGCTTGGGAGGCTGAGGTAGGAGAATTGCTTGACCTGGGAGGTGATTGCAGTGAGCCCAAAATCGTGACACTGCACTCCAGCCTGGGAACTCTGTCTCAAAATAAATAAATAAATACATAAATAATAGAGACAAGGTCTCACCATGTTGCCCAGGCTGGTCTTGAACTCTTGGCCTCAAGTGATCCTCCCGCCTTGGCCTCCCAAAGTGCTGGGATGACAGGTGTGAGCCAGTGCGCCCGGCCCTTCCACGGATGTTTCCAATGGCAATGAGCTCGTTTGCTCTTCTCTCCCCCCTGCTCTGCTGAGTCTTACACTCTGTGAATCTAGGACCCATCTTACAGCATATTTGATCCTCACTTCACCTAGAATCCCCATTCACTCAAAAACGACTGAGAAGTGGGCTAGAAAAGGGAAATTAGCCGGGCATGGTGGGACACACCTGCAGTGCCAGCTACTGAAGAGGCTGGGGTGGGAGGATCACTTGAGCCCAAGAGTCTGAGGCTGCAGCGAGCTGAGATCTGCCACTGCACTCCAGCCTGGGCTACAGAGTGAGAACCTGTCTTTAAAAAAAAAAAAAAAAAAACGGCAAGGGAAGGCAAGGCAGGTGCTCTTGGAGATTTTGTTATCCACAATATGGATGACATTGACACCTGCTGGCCATTCTCATATCATGCAACGTCTGGGAAAAGAGCAGCTCGCTCAGGGGGCTGAACCTCCTCTGAACTCTAATAGGAACTCGGCACCACCCTAACAGGGCAGCCACCAACAGCCCTGAGCAAACAGGGTGCCACCTCTTTCTTAAAGCATTTTCTGAGGTACCTTCGGAGCTCAAGGTCCTTTTTCTCCGTCACGTCCTTGAGTTCGCTCAGTAAGTCCAGCACCTGCACATTTTCTTCCGAATCGCCAACGTCAAGTGCTGCCAGGAGGTGCTGAGTGGTCACCAGTTCACGCTGCAGGGCATCTGGAGGGGAAGAGGCATGGTGGGCGATGGATGGCAAGGTGCCCCACGCAAGACACGCAGGAGTGGAGTGGCCGACAGGCTTCTCTCCCGATGCTCGGCTATCGTGCTGGAACCGTGGAGAGCGCACAGGGAAGAAGCGGAAGCCAAGGAAGACATTCGTGCCTTCTCCGTCCTGTGCTCTGAGATTGTGGGACAGGCACGTCCACCATCCAGGAGGACATTGGAACAGAAATGAAATGTCACTCTGGGATCCTCAACAGAAGCCAATGCAAATGTGAAAAAGGCTGTGCTGTGCCAGGGAGAATGCCTGAGGCCTCCCAGCCAGACCACGAGCAACTGAAAAACAGTCCTTGTTCCCTGCGCCACTGAGCAGAGGGATGCCTGCAACTACGGGACCTGTCACCCGCACTAGGACAACACGCCCCCTTCCCCAACGCACGTCACATTAAGGCCAGTCGTACACGAGAGTCACATTTTGGGAGCCTTTTAAGCGCCGTATCAGCCAGCGTCTTCTCCCTCCAGCTGTGGACCAAATTATGCCCTCCCCAATACGTACATTTCACTCCAACTCTCCACTCCCAGTGAGTGACCTTAACCGGTAACAGGATCTTTGTGGATGGGGTGGAGTTAAGATGGGTGGGCCTAATCCAGTGACTGGTGTCCTCATCAGATGCGGGAAATTTCTTTTTTTTTGTTTTTGAGACAGAGTCTGGCTCTGCTGTCCAGGCTGGAGTACAGTGGCGCAATCTTGGCTCACTGCAACCTCCGCCTCCCGGGTTCAAGTCATTCTCCTGCCTCAGTCTCCCGAGTCGCTGGGATTACAGGCTCCTGCCACAACTGGATAATTTTTTTTGGATTTTTAGTAGAGACGGGCTTTCACCATCTTGGCCAGGATGGTCTTGAACTCCTGACCTCGTGATCCCCTGCCTCAGCCTCCTAAAGTGCTAGGATAACCGGCGTGCGCCACCATACTGATGCAGGAAATTTCAATAACAAGACAGCCAGGGAGGAGGCCACGTGAAGACGGGCAGAGAATGGAGGGACACAGCCAGAGCCAAGGAACGCCAAGGTACGACG